TACCTGGACCATAGTAACCATACCTGGACCATATAATCTACACCTGGGCCATATGAACTACACCTGGACAAGCCCTTCTGTGCCCGTCTCCTTCCTGTCCTCTCTAACAGAGAGCCAAGGAAGACGGCTGTCCGTCCTGAGCTTGGTTCTGGTTCTGCTGGAGGTTTCTTCCTGTTAAAAGGCAGTTTTTTCTTCCCACTGTCTCCTGTGTGCTGCTCAGGTTGGGAGATTGACAAAGAGAAGATCCAACACAACCTTCTAGCGTCCTCAGATAATGTTTACTGATGGACCATTTGAATGTGGGTGTTTTTGCACCCGGAGACGTCTTCTGTTGTGATTTGGAGCTGAATTAATAAACCGAGCTGTAAATTTTATATTGCGTCAGATTGAAAACACACTTACTGCTGTGAAACCCAGAGGAACGCCTCCTGGGCTGTTTGTAAGAAGAAAAATATGTCGCCGCATGTTTTCAGCTACCTCACCTATCGCCCTGAGGCAACTCTCAGCGTTCTTAGTTTCAGAAAATACCTGAGCCGCCTGCTGCTACGCAGCTCGTCTGAGTTCACGGTGAAGTGATCCTTTACGCTGCGAGCACAAAGATGCAGGAGATCAACTGTGTCTTTCCTGCCTGAAGTTCATCAGACAGCGAGGAAATACATAAAAAACTTGTGTCCATTCACAAGATTCACTAACTTGGCCTCATGGCAGCTCTAAAACATGAAAAGTAAATTTTAATGGTCAGACTGGTTTACAGAGAAGTTTTATTTAAAAACATGAACTGGACCTAATGGAGGACGGACTGAAAGGAGCCTCCTCTGATCCAGATAAAGAGTTCTTCTTTGACTCGGAGCCTCTTGTTGTTTTCTGGAGTTTAAAGAGGAAGTTTGTCTCTGGAAAGCTGTGCAGCGTGTCAATCAATCAATGTGTGTCAATCAATCAATGTGTGTCAATCAATCAATGTGTCCCAATCAATCAATGTGTGTCAATCAATCAATGTGTCCCAATCAATCAATGTGTGTCAATCAATCAATGTGTGTCAATCAATCAATGTGTGCCAATCAATTAAAGGTGTGTCAATCAATCGAGCATGCGTCTCATTGAGCTCAAAGGTCAAAGTTCACTTTAGTTTACAAACGTGGAGGAGGAGCTCGGCCTCTAACGAGTTCTGAGAGTTCAAACCTCTGACCTCCGGCGGCGAGCCACACATCATGTCCCAGGTGCCGAAGTGTCCTCTGCTCTGTCTCAAATGTCTCACGGCGTCGGTGAAGGCTGGCGTGTGGACGGGACTGTCCTCCGAAAGACCTGCCGGGCCGAGACAGAACCATCAGGATGTGGACGTTTAAACACGTAAAACATAAAAAAATAAAAATAAAGATTTTATATAAAGATAACCTTCTAAATAGAATTGCATTAAAAAATAAGATTAGATAAAAACAATAAAACTAAATATTAACATCTAAAATGTTCCAGATACACAAAAAAATACATAAAATTTAAGAAAAAAATATAACAAGTACAAATACTTAAAGTACAAATAAAAAAAATATTTCTGCAAACAAAAAAACGGAAAGAAAACCTTTGTGTAAAAAAATAAAATAAAAAAATACAAATACATAAAACTATAAATACAAATATCTCAGTGCGTTAGCCCTCAGACTGTGTTGGGGAGCAGTCTCAGCTACTACCACACTAACTTATAGTTGTTTTTACATTTGCCAAGACGATTAGCTGAGGCGGCCATCTTGACTCGAACAATCGATCATTGTAAACGAACATCCCATAATGTCATGAACTTTTTAATTAAATCTGACACTGGTTGGCGAGATATTTTGCTAACATATAGACAAACGAACACCCGTACACATGATCGCCCACCTTTCAAAATGGTGGGAAAAACACAAAAAAAGTAAATATTTAAAAATCTCACAAACGGTAGATTTTATTACATTTGTTTTGTTGCTCCGGTCTCCAATTGTGAAAAAAAAAAAAAAAAAAAACAACCAAAACACTCGGAGTTCTTGAGTCACGCTCCACATCGTCGCCCGCGACCGCATCGTCCCGAAAACAGGAAGTTGTTGACCTGTTGGAGGACGGTTTACAGTCGGTTGCCGTAGTAACCACCCCTCCCACTCTGCTTTAAGGTTACAAAAACGAACTAAAATACTTTAAACGTTCAGAAACACAAAGATGCAAATCAGAAAATAACTTCAACAACAAATTTAGTAAAAATTGGATCAAAACGTGTTTGAAAAACATACAAACAACATATAATAATAATATTAATTTAAAAAAAACGTCTAAAATAAAGTTGCTAAAATTGCATAAAAATTAAAATTATTAAATGCAATTTAGAATTTAGCTTCAACAAACTTATTTTTAAGTTATAATAATACTTGCTAAAACTATTACTATAAAATGTACTAGTACATATAAAATAAATGTAATCAAATATTTTAAAAGCTACTAAAACTTTTCAGGTCGTTTTAATTTAAGAAACAAGAAATCACTTAGTTTGATTTAAACTCGAGCAGCGCCGACGTCTCTCGGTGGAATCCTGCGACTAAGAGGAGACTCACAAAGACAGGAAGTCCCCAAGAACTGTGGGCGACATGGGGGGGTTCGGGTCCAGACAGGAAGCGGTCTCTGGTTCTGCTCAGAGTCCAGAGCTTCGGGCTGCGTTTCCTCCTGGTTTGTGTTTTTAACGATAATGAGCAGGAAGCTCCGCGGGGAAACAACCGCCACGCTGACAAGTGGAGCTTTACGACCAAGCTGCAGTTAACGCAGAGCGCCAAATCAAAAAGCAAACAGAACCAAATTCTTTTGTGTTTGCCGGGTCGGTGTTCTGCTAAAGATCCAAACGGTGTGAATCTGAAGAGGCCCCGTACCTCGTCCTAAAGGAGGAACGAGGATCGAAGACGGACCCGATGATGGCCACGAGAACCGGAACGCTCACCTGAGTTCACCTCAGGAACACGTTCCACGAGTCGTTTCGAGCGGTCCAGCTGCTTGCAGAACCTCCTGCAGCACCAGAACCCTCGGTGGTTCCGTTTGTCTCACGTGGCTGTACAGGGATTCTGGCCCACTCTTCTTTCCAGCGTTGCTTCAGTTTATTCAGGTTTCTGCTCCGTTCTCTGAAGGTCCCACCACAACCAGACTGGACCACTGCAGCGTCCTGATTCTGGTTTTTCTGACCCGTTCTGTTGTAGATCAGCTGCTGTGTTCTGGATCATGGTTCTGTTCGAGCTTCAGCTGCTGGACAGACATATTTGACTCTGGAACCCTTTGGTCTACAGAGTTCATGCTCCTCTTAAAGACTGCAAGGAGCCCAAACCATCAGCCCTCCACCACCGTGCTGACAGCTGATGAGCTGCTTCCTGCAGTGCATTCTGGGTAAATGTCTGTTCTTTGGTCTGGTTCTGTCCCAGAAGTCTTTTGGTACATGTAGAGGAAACTTTACACACTTAAGTCAAGCTGCCGTGTTGTTTTTAGGAAGAGCCTTTGACCTTTGACCTGCTAACTGAGGCCCGTAGAGTCCAAGATGGAGCCCTTTCCTCTGAGCACTGCATGGTCTGACCTTCGGGGGTCGCTCTCGGGAAGATTAGCAGCTGTCCAAAATGTTTTCTACTCGCTGTAGAAAAATTAAAAATGACCTTTGACCCTTCCCAGATTGACAGGCAGCAACAGCTGCTTCTCTGAGGTCATTGCTGATGTCTTTCCACCTTGGAGTTATGCTACCACACAGCTGTGCTCCAGAAGAACCGCAGCTTTTTCTTTTTGTTCTTGTTGAATAAATGTTCACTTTTTGTTTCGTGTCATTTTCTCCTGAAGGACGGCGACTTGATCTAAAACGACCCGCTGGTGGTGGTTGTACTTTTCCACTTAGCCCCCCCAAAAAACTAAATATACACCAAATTATTTTGTGTCACATGGAGTATTTGTACAGCGTCTGCTACTTTAAAACCTAAAATAGATTTTTTTTTGTTATTATTTCAAGAGGACAAATAAAACCCAGACGGCTTCTTTTAATATTTTCTCCACGTTCCGTCTTTCCAGGTTGTTAAATACCTAAATATTTTCCTGACCCAAGCAGGATCAGATTACAGTTCCTCAGCTCTGTGTGTGTGTGTGTGTGTGTGTGTGTGTGTGTGTGTGTGTGTGTGTGTGTGTGTGTGTGTGTACAGCGTGTAGTATTTGAACATGTGGCAGCACTTACCACAGTCTTTTTAAAGGCATTTCCCTCCCCGTCTTCCTCCCCACGCTCCGCTTCTTGGCAGTCATGAATTCTCAGACCGGTTTTTTTTTTAACCCCTGAAAGTCTCGTTTGATGTTTTATACGAATATGGACCAGAACTTTGTCACCTGCCTTTAAAAACACATTTTATCCACTTCCATCGACGTGCATGAAGCCACCGCCACCAGCTGCAGACATCACTACCAACTTTAGATCCCTGTCCCGGCACCAATGAACGAACGAGCCCAGCCGACCCGGTGTGCCGGTACTGTGTTGTAAGAACCACGGGGGTCACAGACTGGAGAGGATTTCTTGTTCTGTATTCGGCCTCTTTGTGAACTGGAACGTCTCCGGATCGGAGCAGGAAGTTGTGTCTGCGGGCGGTTCGGTTGGAAAGCGGTTCTGGACTGGACCTCATCAGAAACACTCGCAGCTGGTTCAGGAGAAACGCTGAAGCAACGCGGATCGTCATGAGTGCCGACAGTAGAAACTATTAAATCGTGCGTTTTATCCTTTTATCATGTAGTTCCAGTTACAACTTTATTTTAGAAGGTTTTTGTTATTTAAAGCAACAGTTCAGATCTTTTAAAAAGCTTGTGAACATTTAAGATTTCACCTTTAAGGTTTTTAAACAAACACAGTTTGAAAAACAGTTTCATTAATTTCTGACCCGACCGAGGAGCTAACCCGAGTCTGAAGAGCCACCTTCAATAAATCACAACGGCAAAATGCAAAAACGATCATTTGTTCAGATTTCTAGGGTTCCTGGGTGAGCACTAGCAGTGCTGTCTGTAGCACTTCCTGCAGGAATATCGTACTTCTGTCAGAATAAATACTGAGGCACGTGCAAACGTTTATAAAGTGGCATCTGTACGGAGCTGTTGGCTCGTTAATCTGGTCAGAATTAAACCGTTTCTTCAAACAGAGGCTGAGCCAAGAGCTACCTCCAACAGGTAAGATGCTAACGGTTCAGCATCTATCCACAGAAGCTCACCAGTTTTTATTAATTAATCTGCCTGGATGAAGGCGATCACCTGCCACCTCCTCTGACTGAGGAAACTTTAAACAGATGAAGGATGAGTTTATTAAAAACGTTTCAGAAGGACATTTTATTCCATGTCCAGTTGATGAGCTGAAGACGTTGGAACTGTTCCGGGTTTTCTTCATTCATTCAACCTTTAGTTATACAAGTTAATCCCATTGAGCCGCGGCTATAAAATAAGAACTAAGCTGGTCATTCATCACTTTTATCGTTCGCTGGCGTCACGACCGATTAAACTTTTAATCGTCCCGTTTAATCGATGCAAAGCAGCAGCTTTATTCTTAGAGAAGCAAGCGGCGATTCAGTGGATTCAAATGAGCCTCGGCTGGTTCTGAGCGAACGTTCGGCTCGTGGTTTTTACTTATCAGAGTGGGCTCAGACGGGTCGGTGTGTGCAGAAAGAGCTGCTTTGCATGAAGGCCGTGATCTGACACCAGATTATAGCTGATGGACGCGAGCAGCTCAGTTTGGTTCTAGGTGTCTGAAGAGCCGAGCCTCGGGTCCAGGCTGGGTGGAAGGGTCAGACGGGTTCTTCTGACGGACTCGAGGTGCTGGAATGTGCAGCATTCTGCAGCTCGGGCGTTTACTGAGCGTGCCCGAACAAAGATACAAAGTCACTCATTCCTTTTCGCAGTCATGAGTGCCTCTCATTAAAGTTTTACCCCGAGCTAGCTTTAGAACAAACCAGCTGCTTGGTTAAACACTTGGTTTAATCCTCCTGTGACTTTGGGTCAAAATTACCCACAAGGCCTCAGGGTTAAGAGCTGTGAGCTTGTTATAAAATCCATCTTTAACTTCAGGTGAAACGATCAGCCCACCGAGGATCTCTGCAGAAACACCTTCAGCATCGCTCCAGCCGTCAAACAATTAGAGCAGAATTTTTAAGAAGTGTCGTCTCAGCCTTCAAAAGTTCAAGCAGCCCCAACGTAACTATGTTCCTCCAGCCACAGGTGTCGTAAAACGACATGGAAGTCGTCCCGCTGAGCCTCTGAGCGACGCCTCTTAACATTTCAAATCATCAGCGAGGTCCGTTTTATATAACGTTTACTCGTTTTAATCATAGTAGACGCTGAAAAGTTGAAGGATTCTCAACGTTCAGTCTGGACTGAAGATGTTCTGAAGTGCTCTGGGCTCTTTTGAGCTCATTGTACCCCAAAACTGAACTTCATGCCGGACGACCACTGCAGCATCCCTCGTGGATCAAAGAGGAGTAAACGTTTTTAGAACCGAGTTTAAATGAACACAGCCTGTCCTCACCATCAGAGCAGTGACGACCTGTCCGACCGTCCAGTACCACGGACTTCTGAGATGTTCTCCCGTGTTGTAAGACGCAAATTAAACAACTAACCTGAAGCAGCACGGTCAGGGTCAACTGTCGGGACAGCCGGTGTGTCGACTGGAGGAACTAGAGACGATGGAGGAAAACCTTCATTTTTATTTTGATGCGTCACCGTTCAGGTTTATTTTCACCCACCGCCAAAAACAGAGGAGCTCGCCATTTTAAAAACTTTATAACCCACCTGAGAAAATCAGCCTGTTGATTTTAATTAAACTAAGTTGTAGAACTGCTCAACTTCTGGAGTTTAACCAATTCAAGATGGCCGCCACAGCCAACTGGCCTTATCAGACGATGCAGGGCTGGCTCAGACAGCAGCTCCTGGCTCTCCGTTTGTTTTTTTATTAGCTTCTTGTGAATTTACACGCTTCGTGTAAAACCCGTCACCGCCTCCTCCTGCCGCCGGCAGGTGCACGTGGATCGCAGCAGCTGCTGATGTGCAGATAAATCTGTGAGATCCTGATTTTTATCTGTTTCCTGTTTCTAAGAGTAAAGCTTTCACACACGACATGCTTCAAAATTATTGTGATCTCCTTCAGAAAATACTTTCTTTAACGATGGAAGCAGATTTATTTAAACCTCCCTTCTCTGTTTAATCATCGGCCGTTTGCCGTCAGGGTCTCAAAAAATTTACAACATGAGTCATTTAACCACAAAGATTAGGAGTTCCCGCCACGATTAAACGGGCAAAATAAAAAAGCACCACTTTGTTCTACAAAATTTGAACCCAAGGCCATACTTCAAAGCTTAATTCAATCAGGAGAGTAACAGAAGTGGAGCTACTTTATGATTATTTTCAGCACATTTTTGACTAAAACTGTGTGAATCCTTCCACAACGCCTGAAAAAAATCAGCTTGTAATCATTTATAACAAGAAAACCAAGCGAAAGCAGGTGATGTTCAGGACATCACACTTCGTTTTGCTTGAGTTGCTGTAACCAAACGGCAACAATCTTTATAAACAAAGTAAAAAAAAAGAGACACACCTCATTCCTGCTGTGAGCAGAAGAGTGAGACCTTCACACGCCCACAGAGTGATTCCAAAGAAACGACGGCGTCCCGTAAACAAAACAAAACTGATTTTCTAAAAAACAGCGCAGCTCCGTTTAGGATCAACTGCCCTCCCGCTGAGTGTTTGTGCGAGGCGACCGTACCGTTGTTGCCGTGTCGGACGCAGTCCTGCAGCACGGCGTGCCACTTCTGCTGCTCCTTCTCCGTCGACACACAGAAGTAGTGATGGCGGGCGTACGGGTGCCACAGGATCAGGGGGAACCGGGTCGCACACTTGATGAAAGGATTACCGCCAGGCTTGGCCTTGACGCCTGCAAGAAGTGACGTAAAAAAATAAATAAAACTGTTTTATTAAAATAAACAAAGGGTACATAATACTACTAATTAAAATCCAAAGCATGAATTATCTCAAACAATTCTGAATGTGTGTGTCTATTAGGTATATACGCGAGTGTGGTGGGGTCAAAGGTCAGTCTGACAGACGTTTCCAAACGGTTCAGTTAAAAACACGAACCTAACTGCCAGCCGATCCAAGTCGTCGACCACTAGAACCCCTCAAGGATTATTTGGTGGAAGTGGTCTTAATCAAAGCCCAACCAATATTTCGATAGGGCTGATATTTTAGGCCGATATTGGCATTTGGGGACATAGTATCGGTGATAATTGTCCAATTATGCGCCGATATAAGCACTTCTAATTTTCACCCCTAAAATGCTGAGAATGAGCCGTAACTGTACAATGTATCCAGCAGAGCATGAAGATGCATGAAGGCTAATTTCAAATCATTGCTTTCACTTAAGTTTCACTTTCAGCGCAGCCGAAACAGGGAGCAACACTGTGTACAGTATTTTGCTGAACAGAGCATGGTAAGTTTATTTTAACTGATCTGTAAAATAAATCAACAACAATAAATTCTCTTCAATCCTCCAAACTGCTTGACATTAGCGACATGCCGCTCAAGTTAGCAAGCTAACATTTCGGTAACCTAGGCTATTGTCTTGTACTACTTTATCCAAAACAATAAATCTAACAGAGGTAAAATATATCAGTGTTAGTAACGTTATCTTTGTTGCATTGTTTGTCTGAAATCTTTACTTCTCTGCAAAAAAAAAAAACATAAAAAAAACCTGCTGTGGTCAATACTAATTGGACTTTCACACGTAACTGACTGTTTAAACAATGAACAGGAAGGGTGTTTCTTTGTTGAATTTACATTTCTGTAACACACTTGATAACTTTATGAATAGTGGAGGACAGAAAATGTGAACGCACATTAGGAAGACTGTTTTATGACCATTAAACCATTTGTAAACTGATGCGCCAACTACGTATAGCGTGGATCTGATTAGCTTATTAGCTTCATGGTTGCAAACAGCTGCGCTAAATAAACAAGCCCAGCTACACTCGATGTTTTCTTAAGATTCTTTTAGGTGGACAGATGGGGACAACCTGGGGGACGAAGGTTTGACATTCTGTTACTGGGATGTCAAGCTGGAGTAGAGACGAGGTTTAAACCAGGGAGTCACCTGTGGCTTTGACCTTTGACCCCATGACCTTGAAGTCGATGGGGATCATCCTTGACCCAGGAGACGTCCAGCTGTGCAGTTTGATACCTCTGTGTTGACAGGTTACGAGCTTGGACGGCACCGTACCATAAAATCAACTGTTTAGGACAGCCGTATAATTACAGATAAGGTAAGTTTCTGTGGAAGTAGATGAGTCTTCAACACAAACTGACAGGTAACACATCCTGCGAGATGTGCTTTTGATGGATGGCTATGGCGGCCATCTTGAACCGGGCTGACTCCTGAGGTTACCCACTTGCTGATGTGAATCACGTTATGATTACCTTTAGAGTTTCACTAAAATCTGTCCAGAGGGTCAGGAGGTATTTTGCTAACAGACACATCTTTCGTCAGCGGGCAATAAAAGGTCCACCTGGGACTGAGTTTAATCCAGATTAGGGAAAGTCAAGAAAATGTTGAAGCTTGAACATCCATCCATCCTTCTCAATGGTTACCTCTTCCAGCTCTCGTGGGAGGATTCCAAGGTGTTCTGAGGACACTGTGGAGAGACAGTCTCTCCAGCTTGTCCTGGGCCTTCCCCAGTGTCTCCTCGCAGTCGGACATGCTCACAAAACCTCCTTAGGGAGGCGTGCAGGGAGCATCCTTACCAGATGCCTGAACCACCTCAACTGGTTCCTTTTGGATGTGGAGGAGCAGCGGCTCTACTCAGAGTCTCTCCTGGACAGTGGAGGATCATCGGGACCAACAAAGCCTTCTCTGCTGGCCTAAACACAATCAGAATCACTAACTTACATTTTAGCATATTTTTCAATTTATTAATATTATTCTGAAATGTCTGTTCCCTTCATTTCAAAGCTTTTCTTCTGGTTGAGCAGCTTTTCCAGTAGAATGTTTATACAGTAGTCCCTCGTTTATCGCGGGGGATCCGTACCCTGAAGCCCTGAGATAAATGAAAAACTATGTATATACAAAGGTGTTTTAAACCCTTCTCACACTTGCAATATCCTAAATGTTTCTAAACTCTCTAAAAGAGCACAGAATGTCATGATTTCAGCTCCCTGCCTTGTCTGCTTTCAGCCACTTGCTAGCGCTCTTGGCCACGCCCACTTCTCCGCTCTGCACAGAGAACAGCTGATCAGCTGCAGCAGGAAGTTTATCCTACAGTAAGAGCAGCACCAATGTGCAGCAGGTGGTAAATAATTTAAAATAATTCATTTTAAATAAAAATTCCATGTCTATTGTGCAGATCATTCAGCCAATTGTGTGTCATGTCTAATCTTATTTTGAAAAATCGCGATAGAGCGAGTCCGTGACAAACGAACCGCGAAGTAGCGAGGGACTACTGTACAGAGCTTTTATCCAATCGTGTTTGAACCATCATCTGTTGCTAGGAACAAAGAAATCTGCCTCGAGGCCTTCAGAACCAACAGGCTCCTGCAGGTTAAAACAAAGAGATGAATCTGTTGCCTTGACCAATCACATGTTGAGCTGGTGACACTGAGGCCTTCTAGCAAGCATTTAACAACGTTCACATGGTTTGATTGGATGGTCAGGCGTACTGGTCAGCGATAGGAAACTGTGTCTGTAGCGTCCGGCAGAAGCTAAATGTTAGAGTTCTCAGCCCTAAAGTGAATTCAAATTTGTGCCAGAAACACGACAGAACAGACTCGACTTTCAGCGTTAGCTTCCATGGTGACAGAAAAGGACTTATTGTTGAAACAGGAATGCTGCTCCTGGACAACTGAACTTCACCCTATCCAGATACCCAGAGGAGAAAACTCCTTTAGACCGCCTGTATCCACGATCTCGTTCTTTCTGTCACTACTCGCAGTTCGTGTCCTCTGGTCAGGGCAGGAATGTTTCCAGACTGTTTTATTCTACATTATATTTAATGTTTAAATGTTAAGTCAGAGGTTTCAGACTGTTTTTTAATTATTAGTGTGGATTCTCTTTAGTCCAGTGGTGTTCAGTCCTGGTCCTTGAGGGTCACTCTCCTGCATGTTTAGTCGTTTCCCTGTTTGACTCCTGATTAGAATGATGTTGAAGAGCAGGGAAACACCTGAAGCATATAGGATGGTGGACTTCCAGGACCGGGATTGTCCATTCAGACAACTGGTTAGGTTTGTTCTTTAGTTTCAGATTCACGGCACCGTAAGGTTCCCACCTGGCAGGCAGCCGTTCATCAGCTCCATGTACTCCTCCATGGAGGTCAGCGCCTTGTACCCGGCACAGTTGATGGAGACCTTGGGATGCAGTCCTCGGTCGTGAGCCTGTCGACAAACAGCAGTTTGAACTCAAACGCAAGGATCGCCGTTAAAAAGCGGCGGCCGAGTCAAGTCCGTATCCGCTCACCGTTTTGCTCTCATAGAGTTTGATGGCGTAGCTGTTCGGCACCGACACGAAGCGGTTCCGCCACTTCCGGTTCTCCTCCAGGTACTGGAACAAACTCCCGGAGAAGATGTTTCGACCCGCCAGAGGGTCCTGAAGAAACAAAGAGACGCAGGGTGTAAATAATAAACTGACAAGTGTTTACACAAGAGCGTGTTTTCAGCTTTATTTTAGGAATAAATTCATGATCAAGCCTTTACTCTACTGGTTTTACTGGTTTTGAATTGTTTTTTACAGTTTAATATCTATTTTCTTTAATTATTTTACATTGCTATAACTTTTCAATCTCAACTTGCTGTGGCCTATAAAACGAACTCCTACTTAACTTTTAAGACAAATAGGTTTTCTTGAATCTTTAAAGTTTATCTGGTTGTACTTGTGTGTATATATTATATATATATATATATATATATATATATATATATATATATATATATGTAATTTTTATTTTTTAATATATATATAATGCAGGTGAAGCAAAACCAGAAGTGACAGGAAATTTTATCAGACCAACTTTAAGATGTTTTTCTTAAGTAAATAAACTTATTTCGAAGGGAAATCAAGCACGAACAGTGCGGCTAATAATTTAAAATCCACCCGTCTGCGTTGGGTTACTGACACTGCTTTATTCCAGTTTGTTCAACTTAAGAGGCGTCCGTGTGCACTGTTCCTGTTAAATAAACCAATAAACTAAAGCAAACCTTGACATTTTTGCAGAAGGACCATCATTAAATATCAGTAATGTCTTGGTGTGAACACAGTGAAGAACCATCAAACGTTAAAAAAGACCTCAAACGTCCCGTACTCCTCACATTCATGCAATATAAAAAACATCTCATCTTCCAAAAGTGTTGACCTTTCTGTGAAGCAGCTGCGACTGCCCCCCGCCTCCTCCTTCGATCTCGAAGCGGACGGCGTTGAAGAGAGCGACGGCGTACTGCTGCTCGTACAGACTGCTGAACTCCTTCATCACAACCCTGGTCTGAGCTGCAAACACACAGGAAGTGAACAAAAAGCTCATCATCTTCATCATCATCATGAACTGACCCGTGCTGGCAAAATCAGTCACAATGAGGAATATTTCCATGAAGTAGCTTTTAAATTCTCCATCTTGAAGGCTTCAAAATAATAACGTGGTTTGGTGAAATTAGGCGATTTTTCACCCGGCCTGGCAACAAGCCAGTTTCGTCTCGTTTAAAATCTTTATTTTTACTGGTCTGGAGTGATGTCTGGAATTCCAGCTCTATTATTAACAAGAGTATCACATACAACATATTATATGCCCATTATAACTTCTAAATGAAAATACAGGACCTGCACAAGCAAAGACCTTCTATAACCTTTTACCTTGATTTGTGACTTTGACCTTGGAGCGGAGGTGATGTAAAATGTACTTGACACGCCGTCTTGTGATGACGCATGTGTATATGAAGTTTAATTAAATTGTCGGGAGTTGATCAGAAGTTATGGGCTGGACAAGAGAAAGTTTACTACTGGAGACCATACCATAATATATCTGCCTTTTGACAGGCGTATAAAAAGCGGAGTTATTGGGCTTCGGCATAAAGTGAAAGGAAATATACTTTCTGAATATTGATCCCAAAGGCTGCAATTATGAAGCGAACCAAACAGGACCGAGCATGGACCCTTGAGGTACACCACAATGAATAGGTGGCGAGGAAAAATTTAAAAGAACTAAAATAAAGCAACCCAAGTCGATGGGTTAAAGATCATTTAAAATCCTCTCCTTTAATGCTACTAGGGGATTTCAACCCAGACTCTTAAACACAACGAGGATCTAAAAAATCTCGTTAATTAAAAACGGCCTTTTTATTTTGGCCATGAACAGTATCCAGCTGATGCAGAGCCTGATGACATAGGTGTTTAATAAGAGTAAACACTGAGCTAACCTTTTGTTTGTCAAGTTAGAAAAGTAAATATTGGGTAAAAGTTAATTTAGTGTGTTTTAACTGATAGGCAACAATTTAAGCTATTTTTCTTCTTCTTTTGATCCAAGGGATCAATAAAGTTTTATCTAATCTAAAACAACTTGGTTATACGTTTGCACAGATGTTCATTAAAGTAATTTAACACCTTTACACAAAGAAAAATGAACCCAAACAATCAGGACAATATGTGAAATAAAGTTAACTTTGCAAAAGCAACCAGACAAAAGTCAAACAGTTTTGTTTCCCAACGAGACGGACTCGTTCACTCCTTAGTTCTTCTCGGCGTTCATTTCTTAGTCAAATATCAACCGGATGAAGATGAGGAGCAGAAGTTTTCCATCTCATTTGATAATTAAAAGTTCTTATCTAATAATAATCAAACGACTGATTTCTTAAAACTCACAAATTGCTCTGTATGTTTTTAACCGTAAGGCAAAGCTACTTTAAATGTTTTTTAATGGTTGATTTAAGGGTTCAGAGTATTTTAAACCTAGAATGTATTTTGTGACCTTTTATTAAAACTGTTATGTATTTATTAACCATAGCAGTTACATGTTTAAACTTGTTTTATTAACCATGTAGTTAAGAGTGTAATAAAGTAGCTCTATAGTTAAATTAAGTAGGGGGATATGAAGGCGCACAGGATCAGTGCTGTTGAAAATATATCATCCTAATAGTTTGTTAATATTGTGTGGCCCTGAAGTGTTCTCTGTCAAATATGACAGAAAATTGAAGACAGCGATCCTGGAAGGAATGAAATCACCATAAAGAGTTTTAATTCAAAATGGCCACCAGAGACACTTCCTGCCCTGAGTTTGTGTTCAGAATGACTCTCAGCGACTACCACACAATTTTAACCTCATTATCTGTAAAATAGAATAAATCATGGCCAATTTTCTGTTGGTTAGCTGTGGCAGCCATCTTGAACTAGGATCGACAATTTCAAATCCAGTGGTTCATGAGATATTTTGCTAACAGACAGAAAGTAACACTAACATATTCAACACTTTTGTGGCTTTGGGCAAAACTTGGCATCATATTTTCTTGTCTTTGTCTTTTATGCAGTCAAGAAAGTGACAATAGGTATTAATGGATACTGGGAGTCGGCAACTTTTGAAAATTTCCTGACAAATTCTCAAAATGTTTAAAATTTTTTAGATGTTTCTCCTATTTTAAGTTAAATCAGAATTAGTTTCTTCCACAGCAGAGCTTCTGTTTGGTCTTTTCAGCATCTCAAAACTTCAAGAACCTGCTGGAGAGGAAATGGTTTCTCTTTTCATCAGCTGTAGAGTCCGCCTCGAGTCTGACGTGTTTATGGACGGAAGAGGGCAGGAAGGAAAGGAGCTGACTGGACAGGATGGACGCAGAGAGAATGTGGAGGAGACGAAGGACAGGCACAGACGTATTAAAAACAAAATGTCAGAGCAGGATGACGAGAAGAAATCCTGAGGCAGCAAAAACAGCAGTTTATGATGAGATGAAACCGATTTCCCGTATTTTACAGGTCTCTAGTAAATGAGTCATTGAGGCTCAATGAGACTAAACTGTAGAAATAAAGGTTGAATTGAATTGTTTCAGATCTAATGTTACATCTTTGAAGTTTTCATACCACAATCACAGTTTAATTTTAAGAGATAATGAAGAGCTTCTGCACAAAGCAAACTTTTACAATAAGTGCTGGTTAATCTCGTCTGGGCTCTAAGATAAAGAAAGTCTGTTTTCCTCTGGTTGTCCCGCTGCGCCAACATACGCAGACTGAACCGCTTTAAATAGACAAAAACCTCTGAATGAATCTGTTCAAAAACAGCTCAAATATGACGTATGGGGTTTATTTTGCTGTGTAAGAAGAACAGACATCATTTCCTGATGCAGGCTCAATAATCCAGGTAGACTTTTAAATGTATCACTCATATTTCAAACAAATGTAGATAACAGAAGAATTTAGATATTTTTTTCCAGAAGAAAAAGAAATGTCCTGAATCTTTAAGTAATTTGATGAAAACGCAGCAAAGACCAGGCAGAAAGTTGTATTTGATTCACCGTGAGGTCAGTTTGTTGTGGAGGAAACAAGGAAGAGGTGGAGGAGATGAGGAAACAGGTGGACAAGACAAGAAACAAGTGGAGGAGATGAGGAAACAGGTGGAGGAGATGAGGAAACAGGTGGAGGAGGAGACAAGGAACGTGTGGAGGACACAAGGAACCGGTGAAGTTTCATACTGAGGCTGGAGGACGAGCCTCAGCTTTGGTCAGACCTGATGCGAAGAGAAACAAACGACTTGTAAACTTGCAGGAGTCCAAGCGACGCTTAAATATTTTACTAAATTCATGTTTTGATCACTGCGGCTCCAAGCTGTTCCAAGTGTGTTTGTATGTCCGACACTCGCACACTTTCTTTGGTTTCAATGTGCTGCTATAATCCCAGTTTACACTCGACGGGCGTTGATATGAAATAATCTACCGGGGTTAAAGATGAGCATGACGTCTGAGATGATTGCTGAGTTGCAACAGTTACATTCACCTGAGAAACCTGATCTGATAATAGAAGGCTATGTTCGCTCACAACCAAACGTTCAAGTATCACATTACTGCTTAAATAAAAGTACACAGCTGCAATATTTTCCCACGATGGTGGAAAGTACTACATGCTACACAATGGCGATGACATCTTGTTATATTAAATTTGGGGTGGAGCTGGATTGGAATTCCAGATAGTGAATTCCTCAAACGCAGATTGAAGAAAACTGAAGAATGAGATGCCGAAAGCTGTGATTGTTGGAGTGAGGACAAGGCAAGCCCCATCAGAGAAGGGTGACACAAGACAACACAAATGGTCTCCAGTTCAGCTGAAATCCATCATCCAGTCAGAGATGGTTTGGATTAGGCATGAACCTCAAGAACAACGGGGAAAGTCCAACAAAATCAATGAAGATCTAAGGTTGATAATTGATTTACACAACTTACAAAGATCATCAGTTCAAACAACTCCACAGGTTGTTCACTTTTGTCCGTGCTTTGCCAAAATTGGAAATGTAACAAAACTGCCCTCCTTGGATGAAAGGAAAATGGTTTGGATCAGAAAATACCAAAGAAGCACCAGTCTATGAAATGGAAACCACTAGAACAGTGCTTTCCAACAATGGTCCTCGAGGAACACCATCCTGCATGTCATCGAAGTTCATGCTCAGTCATCCAGGTACTCAATCCAATAATGATCAGTCAGGTCATCTAGACAGTTGTTTTTTGTTTTTTTTTTGTGGAAAGACGTTCCACCCTCTATCCAGAGGGCTTCATCAGTCTGAGGAGTCCCAAGTAAACCGTTTCTCAACTAAGCAGTACACTCTTTTAGTGGACCAACCAGTTTGCTGGTGATAAGATGGTTTCTGGGCCCAAGTAAACCTTTTCCCCAGTTTACCTCCCCCCCCAGACAGGGGACAGGACAGCCCCCAGAAACCATCTTACCACCAGCAAACTGGTTGGTCCACTAAAGGAGTGCACTGCTTAGTGGAGAACAGTTTACTTGGGACTCCTCAGACAGTGAAGCCCTCTGGATAGAGGGCGAAACGTCTTTCCGCAAAAAAAAAACCCTGTCCAGATGACCTGACTGAGCATTATTGGACCATCCTGCACGTTTAACTGGTTTCCCTGCTCCAACACACCTGATTCAGTGATTTAATTACTTCCTCATGTTCTGCAGAAGTTAATCACCCATAAATTCAAATCAGGTGGGTCAAAGCAGGGAAGCAACTAAAACACGCAGGATGGTGTTCCTCGAGGACCAGAGTTGGGAACCACTGCACTAGAACACCAGTTTTATATTACCATGGACTGAGACGACCAAGAACGCAGCTCCTGATCCAAAAAAAGAAACCATCTTCAAGCTTCATGGATAAGTTTATTGGTCAGACGAAGCAAAGACTGTAATATTTATGTACGTTTGAAGGTGTCGATGCGAGACTTTCAGACCTAAGAACATGAGTGTCAAGCTAAGTGGACAGAACTGAGGACTACCTACAAAATCTCCAACTTCAATTCAAATCAAGACGGCTGTGATTTGGACACAGTTGGGTGTTCCAGCAGGACAATGATCCATAGAACACCAGAATTTGTTTCTAATTTTATAAACCAGGCAAAATCCAGTTCCTCACTGGGTTGAGACTGTTGGCGGCTATTTGGTGAAAAGGGTGTATGCAAATATGTTCAGAAAATAGTCGTCGTAGGCGTCTCAGACCCAACTCCAGATGCATTTTGAGTTCTCTCTGGCAGAAAATAATTGAGGCAAATCTAAAAAGATACAACAATGATAAAAGGTATAAGTACTCCAGTAGATTAAACCATAAACTTGGGGGGCAGCTGCCACGGTTGGAACAAAGCAGGACAAACAATGTGCATGGCAGATAATAAATTCTAAAATTACTTACCCAAAACACAACTGCACAACTTTCCGATAACTCGGGTGTAAACACCAAGGAGGCAGTGAAATCGTAACTGGTAACTGACCCATTCTGCTGCCATTTTAAGTCACCAACAAGCCTCTAATGGTCCCAGTCCAGAGAGGTACCCTCAACATGAAGCTTCAGGATTGGCCTTCCCAAAGCCCCAACATCACCCCTTTAAAAAAAATCTGAACTATGTTTAAAAGCTGGATCTGTGCTAAAAAAAACCCACTTTAAACGAACCCTACCATTCCTGCCAAGAAGAAGAGCGTTGAAACGTCAGGCAGAATGTTGCCAGAAGCTTATTGAAGGACAGAAACAAACAGGGTGTGGTTCTTTATATCCTGTTTGAATCAGAGTCGATCACAAAGGGATCAACTACTAAAGGTTAAAACTTAAAATAACCTTTCAGGTTTGGAAATGTCTCAGTTTTTAACCAGAGACTGTCCTGACTTCCGAGGTGTGTACACTCTGTCAGAGGTTTTCTATTGAGTTGAGGTTAACAACCTAATTACTGCGTATGTGAAGCTTTGATCCGAATAGCAACATGCTAAAGACAATAATGAAGCACACTGTGTGGGTGACCGTGCAATTATAGTTCATAGAAGCAGACGCTGCGCTTGAGGCACCGAGAACAAAGAAATTGTTTAAATGAGATGCATGAGTCCAAAGATAATGAGATACGTAATCAGGCTGCCAGATACACAGCCGAAGCCACCGCAGAGTCAAAGCTGTGGGAACGTTTAATGGCACACGCAGCCTCTAATGCTCACTCGTGGTTCAAAGGAGGTTGTTTGTTTCACACATGCAAACAAAGATTACCAGGGAGTCGCCGGTGGAGACAAGACAGAGGGAGGCGGACAGCAGTTTCAGCTGCTCGGCATGTCTTTACCTGCTGCACCTCATTATCTTCTGACTACTCCCTTCGTGCTTCTCTCAGAGCTCAGCAGAAAACGCTTCCTGGTATCCGAAGAGTAAATTAGCTTTCGCTGTTGAGATTGTGAAGCAGGTGGCACACGAGCTGAACATCGCCGTTTGGATGACCAGCATGGTTCAAACTCAGCAACACGGTCGTTTTATTTGGTTTGAATTGTGTGAATTATGTTAACGTTCACGGTTATTGAATTTCTGATGTTGAATTATTCATTCACATTTATGCAATCCACAAGAGACAACTATTCTGGCTAATTTTATTTAAAAAAAGCGGTTCAGCTCGTTCAGCAGATGGGTGCTGTAACCTTTTGTTTTAACTAACCCTTTGCTACTTTTAGTCACAATTTTGTTGCATTTATTTAGCCTTTTGCTTTCGTTAGAGACTTTTTTGTTACTTTTATCTTATTTTTTTTGCTGCTTTCACGTGCTTACTACTTTTAGCTAGCCTTTTTTCTACTTTTAGTTGTTTTTTTGGCTGCTTTTAGCTTGTTTAGCTACCGTTAATTTCCCATTTACTACTTTTAGCTAGCCTTGTCCAGCTTTTGGCTACTTTTATTTACCATTTTGCAGATTTTAGCTAACCTTTTGCTACTTTTTGCTACTGCTTTGATACTTTTGGGTTCTAGACAACTTGCTAATTTTAGCTAATATTTTGTTGCCTTTAGATTTTAGCTTCTCTGTTGCTGCTTTTAGCTTTTAACTAGCATTTTGACCTTTTGGCTTTAAGTTAGCCTTTTCTAGCATCTAGTTTGCCTTCTGCTACATTTTGGGACAAGATCAAACCAATATCTTTTTATACCGGCTGAAAGAAAACTCAACAAAAATTAAACTCGTCTCTAAATTTATTTTTGGTGACACAAATGTTGATTTAGGCGTGTGAAGCTGAAGCATGTTTTTATTTCCACTGCTGCTTTAAACATCTGCTTCACTGAGACTCAAATGGACAAAAGCTTCATTTTTAATCATTTAGACCAGAGGGTCCCTGACGTTTCAGGGTCTGACCCAAAATACCAACGGCACAGACTCGCGATCAAAACGACTGCTGGTTTGGGTGAACAAACACTGACGTTTGAGACGACAAAGATCAGGAGATTCATGTTGGAAAACAAAGAGTGGTACAACTATCATAAAACAGGTCCACATGCTCAACACGTCAACATTTTACCCGACTCCAAGACGCCTCAAAGCCAGAGTTTTGTTATTAGAAGTTTCAAACAAAGGGGTTCTTCTTTTCTGCTTCAAACGAGACAAATAAAAAACCAAAACGAACGTTAAAGTCTCATAATTTTCAACTTTCTTTGAAACACAAAACTGCAGAACATTCCAGTTAAAGCCAAAATGACCGGGGAGCCAAAAAGACTTCAACAAACTAAATCCTGCCAGTCTGCAGGACTTTAAACGCATCATGAAACCCCACTTGATTACTTTAAACGCATCATGAAACCCCACTTGATTACAGGAACGCATGAAGAGTTTCCAGCCTCTGCAGAGTCCAGAGTGGGACCAAAACAGCCAGACTTAAATAAACAGGCTCCACTTTGAATGAACTCTTCATTATGTCTGAGTAATAACGTTCAGAGCAAGTTTGTATACAATAAGAAAACACTTTTTTTGTGTTAATACTGGAGAAAATACAAAAGCCTGCATGTTTCTGCGCTCTCTGTTTTTAAAGTAACAGTCTGTAAACCTTCCGCCGCCTCCTTACCTCCGATCATCTCCCTCCTGCTCTCATCCAGGTGAGAGGAAACCACGTCCCCCATGGTTAAAGCAGAGTTTCACACGTCCTCCGAGTGGGAAACGGTTCTGGTTGGATTTCCAGGACTCTCCTGGGAAAAGCCTGCGGGGATTCAGTTTCACTCTCCTGCTGAGAAAACCACCCAGTGTGTGGCTGCTTTCTCCAAAAACAGAAAAAAGAGAGGGAGGAGGAGCACACGGCTCTCTTTCACAGCTACAGGATAGGACCGGACACACCCTCTGGAAGTCATCACTGGTCCAACGTGTTCAGTCAGGGTGTGGCCAGAACCTGGAGCGTCTGTTTATCTTCTTGTTGCCTAGCAGCAAAAATATGTTTGGGGATTAAAAACGGATTGTATCTCAGTTGTTCTGATATTAGGTCGTTACTGTAACGAAACACATGAGGCTAATTTCATGTCGACACCTTACTTTGTAAAATGGGAAGTAAAAAAAGATGCAAGGCACTGGTAGTTCCTGAAACTCGTCTCTGCTTCCACCTTGTGGCGCCCCATAAAACCACAGTTTTATATTTACAGCAAAGTCTTTTAAAAAGCTTTTTGTTTTACTAAAAACTTGTACAAAACAAAATGGAGTTCCCTGCATTGTGAAACAATTACCTGTTCAATTTTAAGAAGAAAAGAACTCCAAAATGATTACTTAAAAGAATTATAAAAGAGATTACATAAAATATCAGCTAAAAACTTACACTGTTAGCAAAATATCCCACTAACCCCATGACTGATTTGAACGAAAACCTCAAAATGAATAAATGGGCGTAAATCTACAACTCAATGTCTGGAGTCAATAGAATATTAGCAGCAGTCGAATAACTGACATTAGCAGACAGCATTGGTAAAATTAACAACAGTAGTAGCAGCAGTAGAATTAGCAATAGTAGTTGTAGTAATAACATTTACATTAGCATAAGTAGTATTAATAATATAATTAGTGGTAGAAGAGATACTATTAGTAGAAAAAGCATTAGCAATAGTAGAATTAGAGCAAATCTTGTTAAGGATACCTGTGAACATGTGTAAAGTCAGGAAGCTGTGCTCAAATAGATTCATAGCTACTTCCGGCAGCTACGGTAGTATCTATTGGAAGAATACAGACAGCTGATTAAAGTGAACAAAAAAAAAGAAACATCAAACTTAACATTTTCTAATGATTTTTGTTGGATGACGCCACAGTCAGTGATAGAAAAACAAATGAGAAATAAATGTTTATCAGATATCAAAGAATAGGAGGCATGAATATATCTAGACCACAATGCATTGCAAAAATACTGACTGACACACGTTAGTATGGGTAAAAAAGACCATAGAAGCTGTAAAATTTGCAATAGCAAAATTAGCATTAGAGTTATAGGGGTAGTACAGCTTGAGCAGCATTTGCATTAATATTAACATTAGCAGAATTATTAGAAGTATTAATTAAATACTTCTAATAGTTCTGCTAATGTTAACATTAGTAGAACTATTAAAAGTATTAATACTAGCATTAGAAAGATTAGCAACAAGATTAGCAGTTGTGATTGTAATAGCAGTCTTACTGTAGTATTAAAATAATAAGCAATAGTATAATTAGTATTAGCAGCTTTAATATTTACAACAGCAAAATTAGCGTTAGCAATAGCGGTACAGTATTAGCAGTAAAATTAGTGGTAGTAGAGGTAGTCAATATTATTTTTAGCATTAGCAATAATAATACTAACATCGATTGTATACTAGAAAACTCATAACTAGAGTAAATTTAGTTATTAGTAATACAAGGAAACTAGTAATGGAACTAGTTGAATTAGCATTAGCTAGCAACATTAGCTTGTCAAATTAGCGTTAGTAGAATTAGCATCAACATTGTGAATAAAATTAAACATTTTAAAAAAATCTAAAAGTTTCTTAATAGTTACAGCATCCACCTCCTGCACAATTTTAAACATGATTTGTTAAAATCCAAAGAACAGCACCAGATCGCAGGAGAGTCTTAAGTGGGGTCAGAACCCGGGTTTTTGGGACGCAGCAGGTCCCGCCCACTGTGACGTCATGGGGGAGCAAAGATGGCGTCCAAAGAGGGAACCAGCTCACATTTTTCAATAAATTGTTAATGTCATTCAACAGTCATGTAAAATTGATAGATGGCATATGAGAAAAATATATAGTTTATAAGTAATTGTGATCTAAACTAGCTCTGAAGTCAAACACACAACTCAGAAATTACATATAAATGGTATTTCTTAACAGTATTAGAATAACACATTTATTAATATTTTTCTGTTCTGTAGTCAACATATTAAAATATTCACTGCAGAGATACTTTGATGGAGGAAACTTGTCTCTACTGAGATTTACTAACCATCTTCTCAACAGGTCAAGTTTGTGTAATGGAAGCCTAAAATAGTGAAATATATAATATTTATTTACACGTGTAAATATTATATACATCAGAGAAAATACCACATGGTACTAGTTGTCGATTAGGACATCTTGTGAGTTTCATAATTTCAAGTCGACTAGTCGCAGTCGGTGATTGTGTCACGCAATCAGCGCCGGCCGCTCGCTACAAAACGGATTCTTCCAAGCAGATGGAGGGCGAGGAGCAGGCGAAGTCTTGCCAAGCAGGTAGAAATTCATCAACAGTGTGGAAGTATTTCACTAAAGATTACTCTTCCGGTTCAACGGCCGCCCATGCTGTTTTTATTTTATTTAATCTGCTAAATAAAATAAAAATGGGGGTGCACCACCACCGCGACGGTTTATTTTATTTAGTGGATTAAAGAAAATAAAACTAACTTTTGCAGCTTAATAATAGTTTTGGTTTTCCTGTGACTTATTTGCAGTATGACAAATGGTAGGAGCATAAATATACGGTCCCGGTGTTCTTTTGTGTGTGTAAATAATAAATGACGTTTTTATGTGAATAGCGTCTTAAGTTCCTATGACATCACATCGACTAGTCGACTTTAATCATGTTGAAGTTCAACCCCTACACGGTACTAATAATTTGTACTAAATTGCATCATGATTCAGCACAGTGCTCTGTAGAACATCGGTCACAGATGATAATATCTACGAGCCAGTTCAATTATTAACAGAGATTACATTGGCCTTATAGGCTAATTTCAATTTTAATTAAATTGTTAGCTTAAATTATGGTTGGATCAAATTCACGTTGAGGTAAATAAGAAAATTTGATGACTTATGCATGAGAGGTTTTCCTTTTTCTTTTCTGGTGCACAGCTTTGTGGCATTTTTACATTTTAAGATGGATTGTACATTCTAATATTAACATTAATAATTATTTAGACACAATCAGCCCTGTTGGCTATTGATGTTCTCTACCTCTCTGGTTATGGCCCCCAGTGTGTCAAACCGTCAGTGACCACGTGTCACCCTCTCACTCACCTTGTGGTCCAGCCTCGATGCTGGGAGGAGGAGGCTGAGGCGGAAGGATACGCGGTGACGTCACCAGCCGGAGGCTCCTATTCTCCGCTGCGGTGAGGCGGATCAGTCGGTCCAACGCTCTGCAGCATCATGGCACCCATCGGATTAAAGGCGGTGGTCGGAGAAAGTAAGACATCAGATTTTATTTATTTTGCGCCGTTCGGAGCTGAAATAACTGCGTCTGTTCGGGAGAGGGGTGGATGTTTGCGCTGATGAGGAGGAAGATGAAGAAGGCGGTGCTGTTGTGAGGAAGATGAGATCCTCTGAGCGCCTGCAGTGAGGCTGCGCCATCGTTTTAAATCAGGCAGGTTGGCCTGAAACGGCGCAAATTAGCGGCTGTAATTTATGTAAAACATGCGGGTCTTTCAGGAAACCCGCAGACAGAACCCGCGCACGCCCTTTTTTATTACTGTACCCCGATCCGCGCTTATTTCAGGCTGGATCTGCGCTGCTTTGGAGCACAACCCCGCAGAGCTGACATAATTAGTGCCATCAAGCAGTAAAAACGTGTTTTAATCTAATAATCTGTGATTAGGGCCTGATCTGCGGGACTCTGGCTGCAGCGCTCCACCTCTCTGCGTAAAAACAACAAGCCGCTTTGTTTGACCTAAAATGACGCACCGTGGAGTCGATAACTGCGCATTTCTGATTTAAAGCCGCGGCTTGTTGAAGCCTGGACCTGGTTTGTCGTTTGAATGTGTCTGGTTCTGCAGGATGTGATGCTGCAGGCTCGGTTCTGGTCCGCAGGGTCAAGTGGGTGCGTGTAGCTGCGGTGATGAGGCCCATCTGTCAATAAACGAACGGACATTTATTCTGGTTCTTCTTAAACATTTTAGCTGTAGACGAGGATCCGGATTTAAACAGATCGATTCAGTTTCACATCCAGATCATTAAAATCAAACTGATCTGAACATTCAGAACCAGCCACCTCCTCCAACATGGAGGCTTTTAGCAGATGAACGGGTTTAAAGGTTTGTTGGAGGCAGGTCCTCCACCTGAGGCCTGAACTGATCTGTCTAAAATAAACTGTTCTGCATGCCTTGGGAGACTCTTTGATTTAAACAGAACTCGGATCCAAATCTGAGTCCGGCTCCTCTTTAGTTATTTAATTTGATATAAAGCAGTTACATAAGCAGGTTTGTGGAAGTAGAGTCAGTAAACTGATGCAGGAGGAAACACCTGCACTCTGTTTGGCTGAGGTGGAGCATGGGGAGCATCTCTGCAGCAGTCAGGATGAAGAGGAGGAGGAGGAGGGGGAGGGGGAGGGGGATGGGCAGCAGGCCCAGTTTTACCCTTCCCCCTTCATGCTGCCTGGATGTGAGCAGCAGAATGAGGAGATTTATAAATGGTTCTGCTGCTCAGACCCATTAAAATAAAATAAAAATTAATAATTTGCTTGTGAAACCAATAAATAAGAATCAGTCACTGCCAGAAGTCGACAGCATAATCTGGGCACAGTTCATCTAATCCACTAACAGCTAAAGGAGGAACTAATTTTTAGTTTAGCAGAATTAGCATTATGCTAAATTAGGTTTCACCAACTTTAAGTCTGCCAACAAAATTTGCAAGCTTGTTCCTGTCTGTTGGGGGTGTGTCTCAAAGAGTCCGTTAGGCACGCTATTGGCTTACTGTGTGTACATGCACTATGACTGGACGACACAGCAGCAGCTAGCTGAAGGCACGTTATTGGCTTACTACGTGGACACATGTCGTGACTGGACGACACAGCAGCAGCTAGCTGAAGGCACGCTATTGGCTTACTACGTGGACA